TTTTTTTTTTTTTTTTTATCTTTTTCTGTATTCGAGACTGTTCAGACGGGACAAACATCATCTACACTGGAATCGCTCACGCGAAGCTGCATAGGACCATTACTACCACTACATTCATCAGCATTTAGGGTTTTCGGACGGGACGGAATGAGTACATGCGACACTTTGGGCTATCATTTTTCTGGTGTGTTTTTTATTTTTGGTTTTTTATGTCTATCTTCCAAGGTTCCATTGCTGTTAATTTCTCACCGCATTTTCTGCGTCATTTTTCCTTGATCTAATTCCCTGTACATTTCTTCCAATTGACGCATTGTGCCTTGTCCCTGACGACGAAAAACGGGGCTTGCATGGTTTGACCGACTAAATGCATTTCATTGGGCTCTTTGTGCCTTAGGTGCCTCACATACACCTGCCTGCATGTCGAACCCCGCCGTGAGCCAACGCCACCTGTTAATTGTTCTGCAGACATTATTATTATTATTATTTTTCCTTCCCACATTCTCAATTCTTACTGCATATGATTGATTATATTGTAATAATTTCTAACGTATAATGTTGTGTTAATTTTCGTCCGTTAACCCCTGAGCCCTCAATGCAACGGGACAGGGACAGGGCTTTCGTTGCAGGTCACATTTTGTGGTCCCGAAAAAGGGAACAGAATTGTATGAACCGAACGAGATCCATGAATACCGACTGGAGGCCTGAGACCTAACCAGGTTTGATAAGGTTATCGGCCTACCAAAATTATCAGACTCTGTTGCGCAACACGACTCTCATTTTAGCCGAGGCAGTACCTGTCTCTAATGCGATTGATCTATTGTTCTAAAACTCCTGCCCAACGGGGCAGGGTATCCCTAAGCTATTGTTCACTCTCGGTGAGATGGCCCTATATTATAGCTCTCTGTTGTTATTATATCTGTCGGTATAAGTGGGTTTCAGTCGCTGTCTAAAGACACGCCCCGGTCTTCCATCAATTCTGTTAAGCTGCGTTCCGATAGCTCGGGGAGTAGCCTTGCTATGACGGTTTCAATGATCGAGTAAATTAGATGTTTATTGCAATACTCATCGGCGAATAGATCCAGAATGTCGTTCTCAATTGCCGCGAGAAGGAGCGACTCTTCCAGATCATCGTCTGATAATGGGTCAGGTGATAAGGCATAAACTGGTTCCGAGTGTTGGTGGTTCTGTTCATTGGGAGCCTTAAAATGCTCTTGGCGCTCAGAGGGCATTTGTCCAATGATAATTTTCGCTGGAACACCCAAGAAGCGCCGCGCGATGGGACGAGGAACCAATGACAGGATGCTTACCGCGCACCTTCGCTTGATGGAAGCGATTTCGGCCGCGGTAGGACGCTGTTCCGGCGATAAGGAAGGCGCAGTCGCAGAAATACTAGTCGTTAAGACGCTACTGCTGGCGTTACTTGCGCCAGCGGCATCGCTAGGCGGGCTCGTTTCCGTAGGGGACGCTGGCGGTTGTACGGGCGAATACGGAGCCGGAGCGCCGTCTTGATTCGCGCCGGCCGCCTGAGTTGAGCGAGCATTCGAAGGGAAAAGTGCCGCCCTGGACGCGCGGAGGAGATTGGGCAATAAGGTGGGGGACAAAACATGATTCTGAATGGTCTCGTGGAGGAACCTAGTGGAGTCAACCATGAAAATTTTTTCGGACCAAGGTTAGCCAGACGCTCCAAACGAGAAACATGAAAATCAGCAACAGTCAGATTGCGCAACACAGATGGACGGAGGAAGGTCGGACATGGTAGGCGGTCGAACCCCAGACTGTGGAGAAGCGGTTCAGAGTATCAAGGTCCTTTGCCTAGAAAGGAAGTTGTGTAACGCCGAATAAAAGGAGGGTCACTCGTTGAGAAAAGAGAAAAAGTCAAACAAAGAAAGGAAGAATGGCTGGGTGGAGACCTAATGCGATCGGCTTGGCCAATGTGAGGAGCTTGGGCCATCGATTGGTGCAATTAACAAGGGCCCAATGCTGAGGATGACGACAAGTGGAAATGGCGGCGAGACTCCCACTCGTCATCTCGCACGCATCCCCAAGAGAAGGCATTCTTTCCGAGCCGTACCATAGGCTTCATAAGGCCGTCTAAACACCGGTGACCGCAGCCGGGATTCGAATTCAAAATCGTCCCCGCGAGGGGTTTCGCTGATTGGCTCGAAAATTAAGGAGGGAAGCGAGAACTTCGCCCTATCCATGCCAATCCCTAGAAGTCGCATGGTTATTTCCTCAACCAATCCTAGGATGATCGCCATGATTAATTTCATGTATCGTCCCTTTGCATTGGTTTATGAACGGTGAACTGGAAGGCGCCCACTTTTCGGGGTAAGGGTAAACCGATGACCTTTGTCGTCGGCAGGAAAGCACAGCACCAATAGCATTGTCAAGTCCACTGAAGGCCATGGAATTGTCTCCCCATCGTTCCTTTCTTTTCTCATATTAAATTTTGGGCTCTTCCTTTCTTTGATGCCATTGTTCGGTGGATAATGTTTCCAGAAGGCCGGAGTTGCACGGATAATGGAGTCGAGCGGGACGGAAAGGGACGGGCCAGCCCATTCAGAGTTGATTGACAGGGGAGCGGACACGTTCTTCACCTTCGGAATGGCCGAAGCCCCAGCCAATTTCGGGCAGGGAATGACCAGTCAACTTCAAACCCTCCGGCCCTAGTTGAGAGGACAGACGAGAAAGGGGGCGAAGAGTATGACGACTATCATCATATCATAATAATAATAATAATAATAATAATAATAGTATCACGCTATGATGATAACTGTTCATAGGCCCATCGTCATGGAGTAATTCGGCGGTAACTCAAATACGAACACAGTAAGTTACCAGTACGCGCCGGTCACACCTCGTAATGACAGTACGGCCATGCATGGGCCCAGCAGGCGAATCAGGGTCAGAAACTGGGAAAATGAGGGATGGCCTGTGCATCCACACCCAGATCAAGTGATCGTTGCAGCATGCGAGCAATGCGCATCAGTTGCATCGTTGTCCCGCTGGGCTTCTCGACCATCTTCCAATGACTCGTCTTAGATGCCCTGACAGGAAAGGGTACTTTCCAGTACCAGCGTCGATCATGGTTCGGATATCGAACCGTACCGTTTCTCCACAGCTGAAGTCCCGCCCTCCTAAAGTTACTCCGTCTCATCTGATAAACCAGTGATAAGAAGCACGGGTGACTTCGCGGGAATGAGAGAAAAGGGAATGAAAAAAAAAAAAAAAAAAGACACTTAAAATAAATGTACAACTCACCTGTCAAGAACACTATCAGTATCACCTAATCGACCTGGACCTGCTAAGATCATGTATTGAAAGAGTGCCAGCAGCCCTCCCAACCATGGCATCCGCCGGGGAATATCTAGTAGTTGCGAAAGCATGCCGTATAGTCCATAATTGAGGACGGGACGCCTCCGGGGAGGGTTGCATGGAGCGGACGCCTCGATTGCGTTGCCGGTAAAGGGCGACGACGAGGTCACTGGAGTGGATGCAACGCGAAAAATGCCCGTCACAATGAAACGTAAGGTCACGTAGGCTAGGAAGGCGAATTGAAGGATTTTCCACGCCCAATCTGGGACCCGCAATTGGACACTTGACGACGAATGATGTTCCTGGAAGTCCTCCTGGGGAGACAGCAGGTTGAACTTCTGTAACTGATTCTTTCTATGTGGTACTGCTGCTGTTGCATCAATTTCATGACTCTGGCGACTCCCCACCACGTCAACCAGCTTTGTGACACTTTCCCACAAGAACCACCCCTCGCACATCTTCCCACTAACTTGATTTCCAATGATTAGATCTGCCAAGATATCACAAACTAGCGTCCGCAAGCAGGCATTCTTTAAATCCTCTGTTGGTAGGAGCACAGCCAGCACCCCGCTCACCAATAGTTGTCTGTATCTGGCTTCATTATTGGCTTGCTGGGTGACGGTGTGGGTATCCGTCGGGTCTGGGATTGGAGAAAGGCTCGGATGAGGGTTAAGACTATGATAAATCTCGCGAGCAGGGGAGGTAAGACCAGATAGTTGAGACTGTTCTCTAGCTAGTCTGTACGCTGATTTCAAGACTAGTTAGTCAAAATATGGCTCAACAGTCTAAAGACGATAGAAAGAGTATTTTAGTTCCACCCTTACAGATAATATGCGCTTCAACCAAAGCCGGTATCTCGTCCAGAACTAGCTGTGAAACATCAGTGTCGCGCAGTCTCTGTTCCACTGCTCGCGTACAATGCGCAATCACCTGGATGACTTCGTTGACAAGAATCTGATCTGATGTAATTTTTGAATACCAGGAGAAGACAAATTCTTTAATGATAACCGCGATCAAGGCATACAGCTCACGATCTACTTCATTCGAGCTTGTAAGAGGAGGTAACAGTTCTTCTGGGGACTGTGACGTTGGTGCGCCTCCAAAGTTACTCGCCTGGGAACATAGGACGCGACGGATTAAAGCGGCAGTTGCCTTGTCGCCCGTCGCGTCAGTCTGAGTATCCCGGCTAGAGGCCTTATGTAGCCGGGGTCGATGTGAAGCCCGAGAAGATGGCCGCACATTTGCCGAAGCTGTTGACTTGGAGCTGGACGTTGTCGGCCCAGCTTTGAGATGTGAAAGCGGATGGAGCCCCGGACGAGAAGGCTCGCCGCTCATTTCATTCCAGTGACAATGGTCTATAGATAGATTTTCCAAAATTGAAAGGTAAGAATATAGCGATTGTGGGATGTCACATCGAAACCTTCGTCGATAAGGCAAGGGGATAAATGTCAACAACTCAATAAGTTCTCGGGAAGATTTCCGGGGAAGCTGCGATTGCGATGACGCTGTTGCTCCACGCGGAGATTCCTCTTTGGGGGCGCGCTCAGGGCTTAGGGTTTCCTCATATCGATAAGGGGACCCTTATCAGTGACTTTCCCCCGCCATTGTCATCCATGGATCAGCCAACTTACAAAGTCCATGATAATATCTAACCCCTGAATACTTCATTGAGTCCTCTAGCTCTGCACATAGAACGCCGTAATGCACTCGTCATCGGATATTCCTATTCCTCTATGGCTAGACTGCGATCCGGGTAGGTAGAACCTGAGAATGTGGGATATGGATATACAACCTAGTCAGTATGCTAACACAGCTGTTCACAGGCCACGATGTGAGTTTGAAATGTTATCGAAAGTGTATTTCCATGACCATAAATTAAGAGATATCTCTATGGTGTACAGGATGCATTTGCCATTCTTCTTGCCGCCCATCATCCCTCTCTGCATTTATTGGGCATCACCACAGTCCACGGCAATGCCTCTTTGGAGAACACAACCAACAATGCTACAAGGATATTGGAAGCCATTGGGCGGCCAGATATTCCTGTATATCCAGGTCATAAAAAGCCTTTCTGTAGGCCTGCAATCCATGCTCCCAATATTCACGGTAAGTATTCGCTCTTAGCCGCTAAGCTGCCCAAGCCAGATCCCAAGCTAAACAATGATTTCTCACACCTCTCTTCCAGGTGATTCTGGTATCGACGGAACCGAACTTCTACCGAAGGCTACAAAGGCCCCAATAACAGACAAGAACCCAATTCTGGCAATGCGAGATGCCCTCTTAGCACAGCCAAAGGGAACGCCTTGGGTCATAGCAACCGGGACCTTAACCAACGTAGCTTTGCTCTTTGCGACATTTCCTGAAGTAGCAGAGCATATTCAAGGTCTAAGTATCATGGGTGGTGGAGTTGGCGGAGGCTTTACAGATGCACCTATGAGTCGACTTATTGGTGAAGAGTCAAGGATTGGGAATATCACCCCTCTGGCAGAATTTAACATCTACGTACGCGCAACCTGCAAAACTTTCTTTTCTTTCTTCATAGCGGCCATTTAGATCTATTTCTAACATCACATTGACTGCTATAGTGCGACCCAGAGGCATCCCAGTCGATATTCCGCAATCCTGTCATCGCTTCCAAGACGACGTTGATCACTCTTGACTTAACACACCAAGTCCTCGCCTCGCAATCTGTGCAGTCCCGCGTCTTGCATGGTGGTGATGACCTTTCGGTTCCTCCAACAGTTCTCCGGCAGATGCTATTCGACCTTCTTGTTTTCTTTGCGTCAACTTATGAAAATGTTTTTGGATTGACTAGTGGGCCTCCCTTGCACGACCCTCTTGCGGTCGCGGTAATCCTGTCAACCCTCAACCCGGTGTATGCGAAACTGCATCCCGATCAAGTTTTAAGGTTTGACGATAGGAACGGGGAGCGATTTGATGTCGACGTCGTCACTGATGGTCTCCACGGGACCGATGTCGAGCTAGTCGGCGAGCTTGGTCGGTCAAGGGTTATATCTGGTACTAACGGAGTTGCCATTCCCCGGGGAGTGGATCTGGATGCGTTCTGGAATATGATACTGGACTGCCTTAGGCGTGCGGATGAATGTAATGCTGCGCGGAAGCTGGCGTGATGTATAGATGAAGATGTTAGAGATGGGCTGCTTGACCCTTAAGACGGGTTGTCTGTCGATTACTCAAGCTATGTAAGCTTATTTGTCTACTTTAGAAAGATTTCAAGACTTCTGCAGATTATTTGCGCATGCAGGAGTTCAATAAGATATGTTTCGTATCATAACTTTGTCGTACATCAATCGTAACACCTACCGCTATGCAACAATCGTGCTATATAACAAGCCCAGAACATGAACTGCGAAAAATCACAGAGCATATTACCACTCGCGTATACCACCATCGGGGCCAAAGAACTCCTTAGGCTGCCAGGGTTCAATGGTCTGCGCCACGCGCCGAACAGTCTCCTCATCAACCTCGATACCCAGTCCCGGTGCCGTCAGAGCATCAACATAACCATCCTTGACGTTGAAAACACTAGCGTCCTTCACATAACTAGTGATATCATAATCACCAGCTTCGGTGTTATAATGGATTCCGAGGCTCATCTCCTGGATAACGAAATTAGGGGTGGCAAGATCAACCTGCATACAGGCAGCCAGAGCAATAGGACCAAGGGGACAATGCGGCGCAATCGCAACATCATACGTTTCAGCCATGGAGGCAATCCGTCGTAGCTCAGAGATACCTCCGCAATGACTGATGTCCGGCTGGAGGACATCAACGCTGGCATCCTCCAGGAAGCGCTTCACATCCCAGCGGCTGTAAAGACGCTCACCCAGTGCAATAGGACACGATACCTGGTCCGACAACTGCTTGATGCCCTCCGGGTGCTCAGAGAGCAGAGGTTCTTCAAGGAAAAGCGGCTTGTGAGGTTCAAGCGCCTTGGCCAACTGCTTCGCCATGGGCTTGTGCAAACGGCCATGGAAGTCCAGCGCAGCATCCAAACCCAGCGCTTTGACAGCCTTCAAACGCTCGACGCTAGATTCCAGCGCCCGCGGCGAATCCAGCCAGTTCACGTCCTCCGTGGCATTCATCTTGATCGCTTTGAATCCCTGCGCTAGGCGTGCTTTGCCGGCTGCTTCGACGTCGTCCGGTCGGTCACCGCCGATCCATGCGTAAACGGAGAGCTTATTGCGGACCTTTCCTCCGATGAGCTGGTGAATTGGGACGCCGAGTTTGCGGCCCTTGATATCCCACAGGGCGATGTCGATACCGGAGATGGCGGACATGAAGACGGGGCCACCGCGGTAGAAGCCGAGACGCCAGGCCATTTGCCAAATGTGTTCGATATCACTGATCTGTCAGCCCTTCTGCGATCTAATGCTGAGGGGCTAAGTTTTGGGGGGGGGGGGGACATACTCGGCCTCATATCCTTGGAAGCGCTTGCACAGCGCATTGAGCGTTCCTTCGACAGCTTCTGTGTGCCCTTCGAGGGTGCTTTCACCCCAGCCGTAGTTCCCGTCTTCATCTACTACTTTGACAAAAAGCCATCTGGGAAGGACACGGAAATACTCGATGGTCTTGATTTTGGCCATGGTGATTGCGGGGAAGTTGGAGAAGATAAAAGTGGGGGAAATCAGTCGTTTAACAGCACCACAGAACTGAACGATAAGTTCAGACTCTAGGCTTTTGTATATCAATTTTATAGATACAAACAGAAGAGATAAGAAAGGAATCCAGAAGATAATGGGAGGATGAGGGATAAGAATCGACATTATTCACGGGCTCATTCGATGCTATCCCACGCGGGGGGACTATAACGTCTCGGAGATTCTCCGCATCGTCTAACCCGACTTACCGAATAATGAAACATTTGTGGATCATGAAGGTGTCAAGATGGCGTTCAATCCTGTGTACGTAGTAGGAAGACTCAAGAAAGCTAGGAGCTCAAAAGGCTCTAGTTCTAACTCAGGATATGAATGTGTTGTTGAGCAAGGTATGTAAGGGGTAAAGGCCCAAGGCTCGTTGCTCAACGTTCTGGAAGGGACCGACGAGCTCAAATGTAAGGGATCATAGAATGCATGCGATGCGTAGGCCTTGAGAATATCAGTGGGAGTACTCCGTAACCCTTTATGTTTGAAGAAGGCGTAGTGGGGAAATCCTGCAGCAGAATCAACGAGTCGAATTAGGAGCCGGTTGTCCAGTGCTGAAGAAGGATTCTAGAATTCGAGAAGTTTCCCGCTGTATGTCCAAGCGAGCGATAATTGTCGGGAAACAGAAATAAACGGCAAATAGTACCCAATAGTAAGAGGGGGAATGGGAATGTAATGCCTTTTCTAGTATACGATTTAACATCGAATAGGGCTAGGATTGAATCACGTTCCTGGATACCTCCCTCGATTAGGCAATCCAATGGACTTCTCCGGTTTTTCGGGTGATTTTCAACTCTTCCAACTTAACTCCATTCACCACGAATCATTCGATCTTCTTCATTCTTGTTACATTCCTCATCTCTTCTTCACCACCAAACCTAAATGGTTTCCTACTATCCCAGTTACGCTGAGGAGTAGCTGTAGTAGTAGCCACTTCCTGCAAGCTTTGATTTGATCGCATGCTTGCCCCTTTCCCTTCAACTGCAGATCTTCGACACTATCGTGAAGTTGATCCGTCGGCGGACTGCGCCCGCCACTCAACCGCCTTCGCATTCGGAACAGACATGCCGCCGGCCAACTCGCCTTCGGTAGGTTTCTCTTTGTCTTCTTGCTTTTCCTTCTTTGCTGCGACGGGGTCGGGTACCATACACACATCTATCTCTTTTCCACCTTGTGGGAGGACACCGAGAGATAACGCGGGAGATGGAATGATGGATATCTGGTTCCCGATAACGTGATTATCTGAGCTCTATTTGAAACCGATTTAAATACTACCATATCATCTCTCCATTCAATATCTCATATCTTCGCAGCAGAATACCCCTCATTCTCCTCCTTCCGCTTCCTCGCTTCAACAACTCAGTGCTGTCTCCACTCCCCTTCCATCTCTTCCAACTGCCGTATCCGACGATGTTCATGACGATAACGTGAACTTTTTGCGATCTCGAGTACGCTCTCCACCCGATTCCTCCTCTTCCCTGAGTCGTCAACGCCGCCGTCGACAACAGACCTTGCCAGAGTCCGATCCCATGGATGTGGATGATCCTGCGGCTTTGCGCATGTCAGTCGAAATCAACCGTCGCATCCCCATCGTGCGCCGTGAACACGATTCCTCCAGCAGCAATAATAATAGCAACAGCATGCCCAACTATGAAGGTCGCATGTCCAACCCTCGTTCACTTTATGGGTGGGCGCCTGCCTCCGATGACGACGATGAGGATGACCACGATATGACCTATGGACCACTTCAGGATAGCAACACTATTTCCTCCTGGTTTGGAAGGTTGTCTGATCGCAACGCGCCTAGACGTCCTGTGCGCCGCGACCCCGTCGCTCAAGATCCACACACCTTCTTAGAAGCGCCCCCAGAAAGCAACACCCAACGTATGAGCGACTATTCTCCATTGTCGACAACTGAGGCACTGTTACAATCTGTACGGCGTCAACCGCGGTTTTCCCGAACACGGACATTGCATAATTATCTTTTGGATCGTGAAAGAGCTAGTCAGGACTTGGAAGAGAGCAGAGAACAGTCGGGCACTGCAGCTACGTCGCGCGCATACAGATTCCTTCCTAGTAGCCGTGGTGAACCTCACCGACTCCTTACACATAATGAGCTCCGCGCCCGGATAAACGCCCATCGACAACTGCATCTGGATAACCCTCCTAGTCCTCGGTTAAAGGAGACCATCAAATATCTCGATCGTCTACGATATTCAAGTTCCTTCGAAGAAAGTCTGACTTCGGCGGCCGCAGGGGGGTTCGTTCGGTTGGATTTCTTGCCCTGGGATGAGGATGATTTTATTCTAGATACAGCTTCCATTGCGCCACCGCCAACATGTTCGTGGCTCCAGCCTGGGATGGTTTTCTCGGGCTCTCAAAGGGCTGCCAGCAGTGCCAATTCTTTCTCTGCCCAGCGAGTGTCGAGTCCACCGTCATCACACGACCCTCTGATTGTCAACGGAAGTGAACAGAGCGGCAGTCGGATCCCCGTACAAACGACCAGCGGTCGGCGGTACATGGCCAACAATATTTATAACCTGGGTACTGGTAGAGACGAAAATTGGCCCGTCAAAGTCACTATCCATAACATTAATCAGGAGGAGATGACCCTCTCAGGAACCATGGAAGCATACAACATTCCCGACAAAACATCACCATCCCACGATGCTCATATAGTCACGTTCCTAGAAGGAGAGATTATCGATTTTAACACTCATACCCTCGAAACTAAGAATTTCAAAGCCGATGCCGAGATCGACTGTACATACTGGCGTGAACTACAACCCTTCAAAAACTTGTCAGATGAAGCGATGACGCGGAGCCTTGTAAGTCGGAAATGGATAACAGAGGAACTGTCCAAGGGTTGGATTTTGATGAGATGGAAAGGCGAGCTCATACTCTAGCTTCCTTCTGGGTCCCCAGCATTGCTAACCCAGATATAGAACGCTGTTTCATTACACCCACCGACTCACGACAGGGACTCACGATCTCTGGATTTTACTACATCTCCCTGCATCGCGAAAGCGGCCATATTGAGGGACTATATTATGATCCGGGAAGTTCACCCTACCAACAACTATCATTAAAACCGGAGAGTACAAGGATGGTCCGGCCATCCTACAGTTTCCGCTAACATTCCATTACTTCCTCTCGATTTGGCGTAAGGTCGGCCTCTTCAGCAATTCGCATAGCGGGTGTCATCTTTCCACATGGCAGTTTGAGTAATTGTTTCGTCACTTACACAGTCGCACATCACTTTGCACAGCTCCACAAATACTCATCTGTACCTTATAGAACAGACAATCCTACATACCAATCTACAATGTACATATTACGGGGGAATTATTCCTTCAATCGTACATGCCATTGGCCTATACTAGGATTAAAAAAAAAAATAGAGATCATGGCCCAAAGACGGCCAAATCAAACCCGATCAACAGAACAGTTATAGGACATAGGGAAGACCTCTCCAAAAAAAGAAAAAATAAACCCGCACACAACCATCCCATCAATCGAACCCGAACCAGACCATCATGACTCCACAATCCCTACTCTACCTCCGCGAGCGAATTTACTGCTCAGTCTGGAAGTAGTTGAGGAGGACAGAGCGCTCCTGGGACTCCTCACCCCAGTCCTTAACAACGACGCAAGAGCAGTTGACGACCTTGCGAGCGTTACCCTCACGGTCAAGCTGGCCTATAAATTGCAATCACCGTTAGCCACACAATCCCCCATTTTTCACATATTTTTTTTTCTTTTTTCTTTACCAAAAGGTGGTTCGGGGAGGGGAAAACATACAAAGACCGACCCATTCACCAAGCATCTTTCCATCGGGGACCTTGATGAGAGGGATCTTGTGCTCGGAGCACAGGGCAATGACAAGCTTCTTGTAGGCCTCCTCCTCACAGCCCTCGTTGAGGACACACATGTGAGCCTGACGGCGGTCAAGAGCCTTGGCGGCCTCACGGAGACCACGGGCAAGACCGTCGTGGATCAGGGAGATGCGGAGGACACCCTTGAGGGCGTCGAGGACCGACATCTGGCCACCGGCGCCGGCGTCGGCGCTGACCTCGACCTCATCGGCGGCGGCAACGGGGTTGGAAACAGTCTCTTCTCCGTCCGACTAATTTATTAGAGATATGTTAGTTTTGGCAATGCCATTTTCAAGATGATTTTGCATATAAGTTGGGTGGTTATGGTTGATTGCTAGATCACTTTCTGTTGTAGCTCTCCCTCTCTCTCTCTCTCTCTCTCTGCCCTGTTTTTTTTTTTTTTTTTTTCTTCTCATTCGTTTTCTTGAACGTAGCGGTGAATTGGATTGCGGGTGTCTGGTGTAGTGTGATGATCGAGTGGGAGGGGATCACGTACCATTTTGTCTGATGGTGTTCTCCTTGTCGGATTATCCTCAAAGAGTGAGATAGATAGGTGTGGTGATGGAGTATACTAGAGGGAGTGTGGAAACGGCGATGAGGTTTCTCGCCTAAATTGGGACCGTGTGCCCTACCGCTGTATTATGTAATCTACTGCTTATCGATAAGTCACATGAGACCCATCCGTCGTCCCACGTGACGTGTTAGGTTGAGCGCTACAATTGAGGGGTATTTGCATCTGCACTCCATATTGTTTGTTACAGCGTGAGAATTGATGACCGCTGGTCATTCCATTGTCTATCCAAATCCTATCGACAGACATCACACATCAACAAGGTATCATAGTCATACATCAAGGAAACCTTCCACCTGTACAGGCTGTCCTCATAAATCGCCGGACAAATACTCTTAGAACACTGAAAGAAAAGAAGAAGAAAAAAGACATTAGACGTATGTACTTGGTCGGTGACCATAGCCATTGGTTAGGCCTTGCACTCCATTGGGAAGCCCAGCTGTATCCTCAACATGGGAAGGCCCAGAAATGTGCCCATTGGCTTGTGGAAAGTTGAACGCTAGCGGCGCCGTAGGTTCCTGATCTATATGCATTTTCAGAAACTGGAGGTCGAGTCCATGGAGATGAGGAATGTGGGGAACAAGATCCATAAAGTCGGAAAGCTGTATGCAAGTCAGCAACCACACCTGGCATCGCAACCAAGCAGAGATCAACGTACCTTAACCCAAAACACATGTTCCATATCGAAGTATTTTGGTCGTGTTTCGCTATCCTTCTGCATGACTTGTCCAAAGGAAGAGTTCATGAATTCCGCGTCATCTGCCTGAACAAGCATCCGGCGTGTAACACGCCAGAGATTCATCCGCTGTGTCGGCGTTGCATCACGCTTCTCCCAGCTGGAATACTGTGCGAGCTGAAGGTCATTTGTTGCTAGTAACGGGGCAACTAGGTAGTTAGGCACCCATTTCTCTACGGCAACGTCCGGGGCACAGGAAGGATCGAGCTGCCGAGTCTCTGCGGTAACGACAGGCATGAACTTCTTCAACCATAGGTGACTTTTCGCCTGTGGGTCATTGGACCCCACCAGGTTAGCGGCAATGCGAAGTCGACTTGGCAAAGCATCTCGTCGTCGCTGTTCTTGCTCTTCCTGCTCTCTGCGTGCTTTGGCAAGGCGCAGCCTTTCTTGCTCTAGTCGCTTCTGGCGCTCATCTTCCGCTTGTTTTATGCGTCGCTGCTCGGCCTCTTTACGTTTGCGCTCTTCCTCCACAGCCTTTTCCTTTTCCTGAGCAAGGCGAGCCGCATGAGCAGCACGTTCCTCCTCTTCCTTGTCCAACCGAGCTTTTTCGGCTTCGGCAGCGAGACGAGCTTCCTCTGTCAGGCGTTCTTGTCTAGCCTTTCGTGCTTCCTTCTGTCGACGAGTCTCTGCCTCAGCCTCAGCTCGTTCGGCGTCGTCGTCCATAGGAATATCGTCAAGGCCGTTGATATCAAGTCTTTCATGTTCCTCCTTAACCGGCTTCCGTTCAGCTGCCTTGTGGGGTGGAGCGTCCGGTTGACGTAATGGATCTGGTCTGGACTCTGAATGTTGATCTTCATCATCCTTCCGGCGGGGCTTAGCATCCCCTGTTGTGTGATCCTTTTTCAGGCCTCCATTCGTGATGTTCGGGGTCCCGTCTTCAGACAAAACACGTCTTTTCTTCTGAACAGTATCACGAGAATGCCGCTCGGGTTCAGTGGCACGACCTCGCTCTGGACTCACACTGCTACGTCCACGCTTAAGAGGTGGTGGTCCGGACTTCGGCGGTTCAAGATGATCGATACGCGCTTTTGAGCTTTCATCCCGGCTCGACAAGGAATCGGACGAAGGTAGGCTAGGCCTCCTTCGATCTTGGGGAGGTCGCCCAGCGATCAAGCGTCTTCTCTTAGGGGCTTCCTCGCCACCATCTCTTGGTGGGGGCGGCTGCTTCGGTCTGGAATCCGGGCGAGCACTATCAGGGTCGGTACCGGTAGTATGAACTGGTTTCGGACGGGCTGAACTAGACTTCTCCTTCAAATGAGCTACGTTGTCACGCCTTTTTTCTTTTGTCAAGGCTGCATCCTTGGAGGCAGAATCCCTATAGCCCGGGCTTCCATTAGTTTTTCTGGGTCGACCTGCAGGTGAAGGCGAATCTCTGCGTCCAGGGCGCTTATTCTCCTTGTCCTTATCACGTGCTCTACGTGGTGAATGGATATCTTGCTTGCGTGACTTTTTGGTCCTGACATGATTGTCATATGCATCGCGAAGAAGGTCGTACTCGTCCTCCCAGTTTTCCGCTCGACGTTCCCTAGAAAGCTCGAAGTAAGTCCGATCCCTATAAAGGCGACGAGTGGGGTTAAACTCCGGCTGGTTGAGCAAAATCCTAATAACAGCAAGGTTGCCTCTCCCAATCGCAGCGAGCATAGGGGTGTTATAACCAGGCTTTTGGGATCCGCCCTGCACCGGATCGGGATCGGGATCCGCGTCACCCATGCCGAGCAGAAGCGAAATCACCTCGTCGTGGCCACCTTTAGCAGCTGCAATCATAGACTCCGGATCAGCCTTCTGTCCCACATTGAGGATGTTGGCAACCCCCACGATGTCTCCTTTGGCAGCGAAAGCTTGTAGGTTCTCTGGAGTAGCCGTGGTCCACAAGAGATCATTCCGTGTGGCCTCGCTTCGGACAGTTTTGCGTTTCGTCGTAGCGAACGGCGGGCTACGTTGTCTATTCACAGGTGGCGATTCGCGTGCACTTTCAGCAGAAACTCGCCTAGACGATGTCTCTTTGTTTTCAGATCCAGCTCTCTCCTCGGAACGACGACTAGGTCTTGGATTGGCTTTTGCCTGTGCGAGCACCCGACGAATTTCCTCGTAATCTTCACTGTCAGATGGAACCAAATCATATGGCTCATCGCCTTCAGCGTTAACAAGACGAGGATTGGCGCCGGCTGCCAACAAAAGCTTTATAACATCCAAGTGACCGTTTTCAACCGCATCGATCAACGGTGTATCCTTGTCAATATTCTTGGTATCGATCTCACAACCCGAATCCAAAAGGAACTTCACAATGGGTGCACATCCTTCCAAAGACGCAATCTGCAGAGGGGTATTACCAGCATTGTCGGCAACATTTAAGTCCTCTGGGCGTTCCGCGTGCCTTGCCATGGCCGTCTCCAATTCTTGTGCTGCACAAGCACGTGCGAGGCGTGTTCGACCATTCTGATCGCGCTGTTTCTTGTGCCCCGTTGGCCTGGCCGGAGAAGCGGAAGCACCATCAACCGATCCAAGTTTGCGAAGATGCGCACTAGGTAGCGGAGATCCACTTGTGGATGATGACACAGACTGCCGGTCTTCCGAACTTTGTCGTGGATATCCAGTAATAAGTGGCGTCGGTGCCTTCTTCTTTCGCTGCAAATCACCAATCTGGGGACCAGAAGCAGTTCGCTTGTGCGCAGATCGGACTGGCGAGGCCGACCGGTCAGTCGACACCGGCCGGGGAAAAGTTACACTGCCTAGTTCCTTCCGCTCCCGTTCACGAGATGCTGTTGGATCTCTCGGGCGAGCAGGACGGCCGGCGTCCCCCTCACCGTCGATAGTCTCGCTGAAGCTGCGCTTTCTCGAGGTTCTGGGTACGGAGGTAGTCGAAAGTTCTGTTCTACTCGAAAGAGGTTGCACATCCTCAGGCTTCTCTACTTTCACAATCGACGGTGGAGATCCTATTCTTTTCTTCGGACTCAGGGGGCGTGGATCACGGTCGCGTCCATCGGAAGAATCGCCATCCGTCAACTTTCTCTTTCGCACCTGCAAGTCGTTAGGAGGAAGATCACTCTCCAGGGCATCAACATGGTCATCATCATCACGTCGTTTCGGTTCATGCTGTATGTACTTCCGTCTCTTTTCCGGCGACAGGGACTCGCGGCCCGATTGGATTATGGTTTCTGCCTCCGAGTCAGCCTTGGGGCTTGGTGGCCCTTCGCCGGCCCCAGCAACAGGATCAACCTCTTTTGTGCGACCGTCCTCTCTCCTGTAGACAGGGAATGGAGAAGACCTCTTAGGGGACCGTGGACCTGAAGGAGATCGGTGGTTCACTTTGACCGCAAGAGCACTGTGTCCGGCATCTAGGGCAGCTGGCAGGGAGGAGACAGCATCAACATCACTCATAGCGGTGGCACTCGATTTCTGGGGGTTCCGCTCGTCATTTTCGGGGGCCGTGGCGAAAAGAAGACTCGTGGTCAGACACCAGCAAGTATGCGCGGAAGCTGGTGCTCGACCACGCTAAATGGTAAAGAATCGTTCTTCGGGTCGGTCCTTTGGGTACAGCGGAAGCGATTATTCTCGGCGAGTGGTGAAGAAGGCACAGTTACTGTCTCGAGATAGGAGGGGAGCAATAGGAGGGAAGAGACGAGTAGATTTAAGAATTACTCGGGAAGAGAGTTAATCTTGCGGGAGACGAACTAAGAGGTGACCGAAGAGGAAGGAGAAATAAAATAGGAAGAAGGAAGAAATACAATCGACAAGAGAGAAGATAATTTTTGAGGTTCAAGGTGGGAGAGTAAGAGATTGGGGGAGGGGGATTGAAAAGAGGAAGAAAGTGAGAGAGAGAGAGAAGAGAGTCGAAGAGTTGCGTTGAAACAGCCGACCACTCGTTTGGGGTTTAGGGAAATTTCGTGGTAGTAATTTAGCAGTTAGCAGAAGCAGTAGTCGCAGCACTTATCGTCCATACGCGGGTTGGTGGTAATGGTAATTATTGCCCCGGGAAACTTACCAGCCGGGGGGGGGTTTCCTCCTCTCTTGTTTTGGCCACCAAGACAGAAAGAAGCACCAATGCTTTTCTCGCTAACTTAGAAAAGACCTAGTTAATGGTAGTTATCTACCACCAAGTAGTCATGGGTGATGGTATGATACGGTACGAGAAACAAAAAACCCCATCTTTATTATCCACTAAGGACGAGAAAAGTACGTTTCTTAATCACATCACCCAGTTTTCCTTTTTCCCTTTTATTTTTTTTTTCTTGCTTTTGCTTATCTGTGGCTATGATACCGATAATAATGGGTCAATCCTACAAGTCCCATACTTCCCCCTCTTTGAATGCATAACGACCACGATAATACGTAATACTTACAGATGCAGCCGCAACGGAGGTACAGGGAGGCAAGATGAAAGGCCCTTCCGAGTCTCAAGATCCTGCGCGAAGGCCCAAAAGCGGGCGGGGGCGGTCAAAAAAGTGGCGTATGAATGAATTAATTTTCTCTTTTTTTAGGGTGGTGGTGCCTCTGAAACCTGCACTTTGGAACGGAGGGCGAGAAGTTGTGCGCCAGTCACCCTCTTCACAGTGGACTCTTAAGAGGAATCCCTGGAAAGCTACGTAGGCTATCAGACTACCTAGGCGTCAATTTGCTCAGGTCGAACCAATGACCGGGCAGGTGGTCGCCCGCTCATTGCCGTTTCCGGCCTAGACAGCCATTCTCCCAATTTGGCAGACCCACGTTGAGTCGCAGCGATCTGCTGATTTCCGCCCAATCACCACCCGCTATTACTGCCTGGTTATCGCCCCACTTCGCCGCCCTCTCTGGTTGGCATCGACATGGATTATTGGACCCGTCGATGGATCGGCCTTAAAGGAGAAGGGGGGGAAATGGTGGTAATGAGGAATGTACCAATGTAATGTGCGGCGGTATTTTATCTGTGAAGAGTCATTCCTCCGTCCAACATGAATGACTGCGTTGTTTTTCTCTTTCTTTGTCTTTTTTATCGTCTCAAAAAGTACTTAGAAAAAATGATAAATGCAGGAGGTTCAGTTGGTATGAGAAAATATTCATCTAGTTGTTCAAAATGAACTGTATTGTTGGCGTACGGCCGACTGACTAATAATTACTTTACTTCATGGATACCAAACAAAGAGGCAAAATTTAAAGCTAGTTCATGTTGTTTTTCTACTGGCTTCTCACGAGACCGCGGTGGAACCCAAAGGATGCCGATTATTACTTGGTTTGGGGGTTTGTTTATGATTTTATGACTGCTCATCTTGCCTTGGTCTGTGGAGTTTCGGTGGTTTTTGTTCTCCACAAACAGCAGTCGAACGTGTCTCATCGTTGTGACAGAACAGGGACCATCGTCAGTGTAAGTAATGCGAATACGAGGTTTCACCTGCGGGCGAAGTCCAGATCGCGTCCTGGAACCATTCCATGAGCAAAACAAACCCCAGAGTGGTGTGCTGTCCTGTGACTCCTGTCGACTAGTCTTTTCAAATTTTTTGATCTTCAATCAATTCCCTCCGTCCATCATCTGTGGGTTTACTCCACGTACTCCGGAGTAGGGGACGGAACTTTCATGACCATGGACTTTCTTCCCAGTCTCGTCGACTGGGCGCTGGCTACTGCTCACATGGATGCGGTGGATGTCCTTCGAGCCTTTTTCCTCTTTGCATCGTGTACGGTATGAAAACATGTTGACAATGACGTAGTGGCAGAACGCCGAGCATCATACGGCATCAGTCTGCCATTTTTGTTTATTTTCATTTTCTATCTAAAATGACTTCAAAACTAAACTCCCCAGATCCTGTCGGTCAGCCTGTTGGATTCCCTTCGTTCGCGCTTCGTCCCTTATGGCGCTCGTGCAACTGTGACGGCCGAGTCGGATTTCACCCCGTCTGAGCCTTCGAGCAGCTCCCCGTTAACTCACATTCTCGACTATCTTGCCTCCTTGAAAGTTCCACACAGCTACTTTACGCAATTCTACATCGTCTCCCTGCTATCCTCTATTTTCTGGGCCTTTCAGCTTATTTGCCATGGACAAGCGTTCCAAGCCATCGCGACGAGGGTTCATTCGGAACACTTACAGAGGACGATGTCAATGAACCAGATTATGTTGTGCTGGGTACTGATGCTTGCTCAAGGTGTAAGACGGTTACATGAGTGCTTTGCCTTTTCCAAGCCTTCTTCTTCCCAGATGTGGTTTGTCCACTGGCTAGCAGGCATTGCCTTCTATCTGGCGGTCTCAATCGCCCTCTGGATTGAGGGGTCAGGTATGCAGTTCCCGTGGCCAAGCACGATTGTTGTCCCGCTAATTTCGATCGGTTCGAAATTCACAGGAACATTACTGTCCCATAGATTGAGCATCGACGATGTAACAGCGACCAACGCCCCAAGCCTTCGTACATTTCTCTGCTTGCCGATCTTTTTGTTTGCATCTGGCCTGCAACATGACGCCCACCACTATCTTTTCTCTCTCAAGAAATACACCCTCCCCTCCCACCCCTTGTTCCGCAACATCGTATGTCCGCACTACACTGCCGAATGTGCGATCTACCTATCACTAGCTCTACTTGCCGCTCCCCAAGGAGAGATGATCAATAAGACAGTTTTGTCCGCTGTCGTCTTTGTCACGGTCAATTTAGGCGTTACTGCGTCTGAGACCAAACGCTGGTACATGCAGAAATTCGGCGAGGACTCGGTGCGAGAGAGGTGGAATATGATCCCTTGGGTATACTAATCCTGTAGTATTGAAACATTTGTGGAGTCTCCAATCCCTGGTGACTGAAGGAGCGAGCTGTATTACCGCCCACCCAGGAATTTCATCGTATTGCCCACCTTCGCAACCCTGAGTACATCCCGATACGTCAGACTAATCCTAGTCTCCCGTTCAAACCATCCACATCGGTATCGATCCTGTTCCCGCAACAAATCCCAGTTACATATAGAGTCAGGGCCTAGCCCTTCATCCCTGGTTGTCTCCGCGATACCATGCAGGTAGTCTGTATAGATCTTCTTGGTTGTAACCAACAAACTTCGTCGCTCCTGCAAAATGCGCTGTTGCGGTCTATGGTCCTCACTGTCCCGGCCCTGACCCTTTTGGTACAAGTCCAGCACAATTGGCGCTCCCAAACTCACCGTGGCAACTAGCGGGAAATAGGCAGCACCATCTTCATGCGGCATGATGCCCTGTCCGGGGCGGTACTCATTCACTAGAACATGGTTCGGGGCCTTGTGCGGGGCATCAGCAAAGACGCCTAGCGACTCAAAGCGAGAGATAACGGGTGAGACGAGCCAGGCTTGAAGGGGAGAGGAAATGAGGGCATTAGATTTGGTCAGGGCAGAGGGCCATGTTTGGAGACGACGGTGGGACAGACAAGTCCAGCGGTGCCGAGGGGCTGTGGTTATCTGTCATGCATCATCGTCACACCAATCAGTATCCAGGTCTCATTGACAGGCTATGCTCTGTACCCGGCCATTCCAATCGGCGTAGCCGGTAGACAGGACACTCCAGTGGAACACTAATGTACAGCATATACCTTCTGTAACAGCACTTCTTCCTCCTCTTCCGTGATAAAATCCGCTAAGTAAAACGCATCATCCGCCAGCGACTTGATCCGCACCGTCTCGAGATCTACATTCATCTGGAACCGTACACTGCACTGGCCCTTGGTACAGGTCTACAATCCCACCCCGTCATCAGATAATGATAAACATTTCCAGAACCAGGATAGAGTGGAACTTACCTTTCAAATAACCTTCAAGACCAAAAAACCAAATAATAGTGATAGTAATAGTAATAGTAATAAACCCCACCTATCAAACCCAGCCGGAACAGAAGGGAAACGTTCGGGTAAAGTCATGTCGTCACCTGCTACGCATCAAGTACAGTAGAGACGATGTGGTCGCCTCAGGCATCCGAACAAACCCCCACCCAAAGCCCCACATCAGTGACCTCAACATCAGATCTCAATTTGACTGCCCATAGCGAGATCTCGACCCAACATTCGTCAGACCAGATATTTAGGAAAGGCAAGAGATAAGCACCTTCTCGAAGGGTCGAAAAGAAAACCAAAAACAAACTTAATTTACAATATTACAAAATAATAAAAAACAAGAAGTCTAAAAAAGGCACTTACCCAAAACAATCCCAAAACAACAACGACCTCCAAAGATGGCGCCCAAGAACAAAGGCGGAGACAAGAAAGGCAAGGGAAACGATGGAGGTGATAAGGGCGGCAAGGGATTGAAACCGGCTACTTCGATTAATGTGCGGCATATTCTTGTATGTATTTTCTCCCCCTCCCCCTTTCTTCCTCTTTTCTATCTTCCTGTATTTTGGGTTTCGGCAATATATATAAAACGGGGGTATATGGGGTTGAGTCGGTTACGTATAGATTGACTGTCATCCATTCGTTATTAATAATGTTATGGGTATGAGACATGTATCTTCTAATGATATTCGGTTTAATTTAGTGCGAGAAACACTCCAAGAAGGAGGAGGCTCTGGAGAAGCTCCGCAATGGGTCCAAGTTTGATGATGTTGCTAGGGAGTTCTCGGAGGATAAGGCGAGACAGGGTATGTGGTTATTTATTTATTTCTTTATCACTCGTCCCTGCCTTTCTATTGCGCTTGTTTTGAATGAGGGGAGATGTATTGATGACTGTGCGTAGGTGGTTCTCTTGGCTGGAAGGTCCGGGGAAGTCTTGATGGCACATTTGAGAAGGCAGCATATGAACTCGAGCCTAGTACGACGGCAAACCCGAAGTATGTGGAGGTGAAGACTGGATTTGGATACCATATTATCATGGTTGAGGGGCGGAAGTAAAGCATAACTTCCTTATGCAAAAATTAATCATTCTATCCGAAAGGGTATGGAGACTATTAAATTGAGATAATACCATGTTAAGACAAACTACGATAACGAATTCATGAACTAATCAAAAGCGCTGTGATTTTATCAAAACAAGTCTATATATACATGAACTGAGTATTACTTTATTGGCATTTTGCAGCCTTCGCCCGCTCTTTCGCCTTCTTCTCTTGTCTTTGCACCATGGCCTCGGCACCAATGCCACCGAAAACCAGGCCCACACCCAGCCACTGCCCGGCAGATAGAGAGTGGCCGAACCAGAAGACACTCAAGAGCATAGTCAGCATTTTCCGTGTGACAGTGACAGTCACCAAGAGCAGAGACGAGAAGCGGGAAAGGGTATAGAAGATAAACAGCTGTCCAATTGCACCGCAAGCTGCGAAACCTAAGACATGCTTCAGAGCTTCCGGATGCCTCGACAGGAAGGAAATGGCGGACGTTAATTCAGTCTCAGTAGACGGGGGAATGGGAATGGGAAGAATGGCATGCAGAATGCCGGTAGACGACAGGTGGGGCATCACAAGGAGATACGTGCTGGTTAGGAGAGTCGAGAGGACATTCTGCGCTACCATCATCTGCGGCCCCGTGAAGCGGGTGTAGACCTGTGGGGAACTGAAGACATGGTCTTGAGTAGTGTTCGTGAGGCCGTCCAAGAGAAGATTGATGGAAAGGAGGAAAATTCCCCACATGGATGAGCCGGACTGGTTCTTTGCAGCTGATGCGGCGACCTTCTTGCTTGTACCCGGGTGGTGCAGGGTGAAAGTTGCGACTCCGAGAGTGACTAGGAGAACGACACCATATTTATACAAGGGGTACCTTTTTCGGAAGATGGTCAAATGGAGGAACATGACTGGCAGGAGCTTGCACGATTTTGCAAGAATAAATGTCAGATAGTCAATATGCGCAAGACTGGCGTATCCAAATGGCGATGCGAGTGACGAGGAAATGCTAACGAGGAACAGAGGGAACAAGATCTTCTTCGTCGGGAAGATCGATGGTATCTTCTGGCCAGCTGGGGTCGAGAAAAAAAGGTACAGGAAGCCAGTGATAGCGGCAAATGTAGACTGGATTGTGTTCAAAACAATCGAAAACGTGAAGCGCTCGGTAGGAGGTTCTGATTCAGCTGCAGTTGGAGGACGGACAGGGTATGAGACCGTAGTGATCGCTTCTTGAAGGACACCCCAAGAGAGACTTGCGCGACTGTTAGTTATTTGCGAAGTAAGAGCCAAAAGGCAATCCAAGTCACTTACAACGACGCATAGATCCCCAGGACACAAATCGCAAGTTGCGCCAAACCTGGAGTCTCCAGAGCAGCTTCATGCGTGACCTGTCCTTTGGACGCACTGCCATTCTGTTGTTTTGATTGTGAATCAGGTCCATCCGGGGGCATATGCATCAATTCAGAAGAAGTAGCCCGTTGCAAGGGCGTTGCTTGCTTCTGGCGCGCCATCGAAACAAGCTATAGTAGAACAAGATCAAACGAAGGACAAAGGCGATTAAGTTGAGTAGGATGGAACAGAGAAAGAAACGAAGTGAAGGTTCCTATGAAAGAATGGAAGAGAAATGCGAAAACGTAGACAGAAAATGAGAGACAATAGCAGGGGGTCTCAGACCCAGAAATAAGGAAGTCCAGGCCGATGATGCCATGTGTTCTTCTTTTTCCCAAAAAAAGAGGAACGCTAACTTAATTTCGTGAATAATTAAACAACTAAATTTATCGGATTTTCGTTCCCCACTTCAAGGGAACTTTTTCTCTCCACCACCGTTAGAGAAGTTCGGTACAAGCACCACAAGCTGAAACAAGCCTTTTGATTCTTTCTTGCTCTCAATCAATAGCTCAACCCAGCGCATCCGCATCAATTCTGAGATTGCGTTCTACATTCACCAATTTCGCGTTGCGCATTCCACAGGCGCAACAAGTGAACGAAGGGAGGAAAAAAATAAGAAAAAGAGAAGGAGAAGAAAAAGACAGACAGACAGACAGACAGACAGACAGACAGACAAAGAGAGATAAGAGGCAACGACTGAAGAGCAGAAAGGGGAGACAATATGGCATCAACACAGTCCACCTCTATGGCGACACCAGAACTATCAGCTCTCACTAAACTCATCTCTCACTCCGCATCCTCCGAACCCCTCTCCGCAAGCACAGTCCAAATCCTCCACAACCTCCAACACCAGCACCTATGGACATCAATTCAAATTCACGATCTCAAGAACCCAAACCTCAGGGCTTCAGCGTTAGGAGCAGAGCTAGCAACAATACCTTCAGAAGATCAAACAGCTCCCCGGTATCTAATCTCTGGTATACCTCCGCATCGAGTCTACACACATCCGGATGAGCAACTATACCTACTAGAACGAGGACTCCGTGAAGAAGACATCGAACTGGAGCGCATGTTTGTTTTACCGACTGTTAAAAATCAAGCGTGGAGTCTGCGCAAGATGGCGTCAGTGTTCGATTCGCTTCCTGACGAGGTGGACATTCAGGCTGAGGAGGCTTCAATGAATGACGGTGACGAAACAAATGATGGGGCCAGTGGAGAAAAAAAGGCCAAGCTGGTAGAGTACTACGAGTATAGAAAGAAGGCTCGTCTCACGAAGGAGTGGGGTGGAAAGAGGCTCCTCCTTGCCATGGTGGATAGGGGAATGGGCGGTGATGGGACCGTGGTCTATTATGTTGTTCAAGAGGGTGCTGTGAAGCCTCGGCAAAATTAGAGACCCTCTATCCAAATTACAGTTGTGACCCCGGTTTGCGATCCACTACAGGAAGTACAACAAACGGAGTGATATCATACTCGAATCACGAGTGTGGGCCACGACATGAGAGGTTACGGTCGATCTCTTAATCTCTTCGGTGTGCTATACAATTTGAGCTATACATTCAAGTGCTAAACATGGGATTGTCTTGGACCACATTCATGAGACAACACAGACCTGTTAATTGCAATAGGGTATCGTTCAAACAAATATCAGAGGACCCGGAATACACAAAATGACCCACACATCTCTGGCGCCTACTCATGAATTGCCATATGCACGGTGATTCTCCTCGACTAAGTCTTGTTCTTGATGGCAACTATTACAATACCTTTCGTACCATTCCCTGACGTCGTCGGATAAATCAGCGAACGCAACCTGACTTGTCCGATCCACCTGCATGTCAATCTCGTCACTGTCACTACTCTGTCCGAGAAGGGCTTCGATTTGGTCACAACGCCTCAGTTCTTGTCGGAGCCAACGCTCCCATTCGTTCTGGAGGATCTCTCTTTCGATGCTGTTCACCACGCGGAGGCCTACCACAAGGTCATGTCGATGCATAGCCAGACGTTCACGAGTCTGCTGGAGCCGTCTGGCTGCACTCTTTGTCGCTGAATCTCTCGGACCAGACGTACTGATGGACAGCGGGGTTCCAACATTCCGTATTGTTTGCTGATGGAAGGTGGCGAAGCAGTCACTCACGTTGTCGCTCGCATGTCCGAGGGTTGAGTTTGCAATCACTTCATCGATGTCCCTCATGTAAATAGCTTTGCTCATGACATGGTCCGGGTGAACTCCCAGACGAGCCATGAAATTCTCGGCCTTCCTTTCGTACCACCAGTCATAGGCGTCCCGCGAGGTATAGAACCCATTAATTAACATACTGGATATCAACAAGGCAAGGATGATTAGATTAGCGTTTGCAGTTTTCCAGACCCAGCGAAAGAGGGCAAACGTCCAAAGTATCACGGACGACACGGCGCTTTCGAGGAAGCTGACGAATGTCTCAAATAGAAGTTGGACCAAAGTCCTCTGAGTGCGAGGATTTCGAATCTCTATCTTGAAGTCTGACTCGCCTAATTGCGATACGGTGTTCTGGCGGCCGACGTGACCGAAGATTGTAATGGCTTTCTTGGTTCGGCTATGTGCACCGAGCCTACGCACCTGCTCGCTCACGAGATCCACAAGATCGAGAGCATCTTGCTCTAGGTCACCGGTTGCTTGCTTGTCAATGACGCCTGGTAATCATTAGCAATGATTCATGCGGGCCTGGTTCTGCCATACTCACGTTGAATGCCATAGGGTGACCACAACCACTCCACCTTAGTATATATAGCAAGCTTACTCTTGCCCTTCGCGACGAACGTTATCACAATCTTACTGACCAGCCTGAACGAGCGCTTAAAGGGGAGATGCCAGGGAGTCCGTTTGTCCGTTATCATGTAACACAAGTGGTCATTAAGGACATCTATCATCTGATAATCGGATATGGTCTGGCCGTGCTTGTGACCTAGTACACGGCGTATTAGTTGTAGTTCTATAAAAAACATATACGTCGATTCACATACCAAGCATATCCGTGGTCTCAATTTGGTACTTGATATCTCTCCTCAAATGGTTAGACTCATTGCGCGACCAAGGTCCCTGCTTGATATCTTCAAGCTAGTCAGCAATGCTGTACCTTCCATACGGGTTCATATAACTTACCTCGAGCCCTCCTTTGGTGCAAAAGGAGCTGCCAGACGGCACTCTTGTCGCCGAATAGAATATGGAAAACCGCCTTAGGGCTGAGATCAAATACCTTCTCTGCTGCAAGATGAAGGTTGCCTTGAGGAACATATTGAACGGGTTGAGTTGGCAACCTGAACTTCATTACGTCCTTGCCGTTACTGCCCTTCTTTGAATGCATATCTAAGCCTTTCTCGATGTAGATGGCCGGCCGAATATCCTTCCGTGGTCCTTGAGCTGCAGCGTCTTCTCCAGATAATTTCTCGTCCATACCCACGTCTTCCCAGCTATCAGCGCTAGGAGTCCGTGTTGCTACATCTGCTTCCATTTTATACAGAGCATTAAAGATTGCTTCAAGCCCCAGCGGTTCAACAGCGGTCGTATCGTCAATTAAGAAGTTGAGCCGTCTCTGGAGGAGTTTCAATGGCTCGAGGAATGTCTTCACCGTAATTCGACCCGGGGTATCCTCACCAGGCCTTGGAACGGTGTGAAGGAACAAAAAGTCAGAGTCTCTCCCAGCAGCGGCTGTCACTTCTTTGATACTCTCTAACGAGACGCTCGTTGTTAGTACAAGCCCAAAATAGTGGCTATAAAAGTATAGGTCGCGGGTCGTAACATAAGCTCTCCCAGGGAATTCTTGCTGATCATTCATAGTATATGTCGCTCGGAAAACCATAACTAAAGGCTCCTCCTTTTTGACATTCGGGAAAAGTAGCCGGAATTGGGCGTCTTGAATCTTAAGTTGCTGCGGATAGTAACTCGGGTACTCATGCGCAACTCCCAAGACTGCACGTTGCACTTGGGAGGCATTCCCGTCCAGGCTCACAGTCTGCCTATGGCGGGGTCCGACCTTCTGTTGCTTAGCCGCAGTGCCACTAGGGGTATTCGCTTCTGTCGACACTACGTGCTTTGATGAGTCACTCATCCGGGAGGATGCTCGTTGTTGCGAGGCTGCATCCTGTTCCGTATCAGGGAACCCCAGGCGCTCTAGTTCAAGTCTGTTTACAAAGCTCCAGTTAGAGCTACCCCACAGGTTCGCCATCATACCGCTTGGCATGCCGCCAGTCTTGTCAGCATGTCCCAGCCCGATTCCTCTTTCATTGCTCACGATAACAGCCGCCCTGCTCATACTTGTAGGTGCAGGGGGGTTTGCTAGCGTCGGTGGAGCAAGAGTTGTGGGAGGATCAAAGCGGTTGGACATACTACGTCCCCTGTTCGGGTCACTGTCTGCCACACTAGAAGGATGTGCAGTACCAGAGACAAGAGCGTTATGGCTAGCAGAGATAAGGCTGGCTATTCCACCTCCAGCACCCGGTATGGACGTAGAAGGTTGTATATTGTTGTTCATTTTGCGGTGGAGGTCCAGTTTCTGAATGATTCGAGATGTATGTTCTCTAGGGGAAGTCTCGCAATCAAGTCCAGTGAGGCGTCGGCTGATATCGCTACTGTTTCGAAGAGAGGCCGGGTCTCTTTCTGGGAGAGGAAGCATGCCATTGCGGTCCGACGAATTGTGTTCGTCATTTGAGTGAGGTGTTAAAGAATCCGCTGGGTCAGCAGTGAACTCTGGGGCTGGAGGTTGAGAAATTGCGAAAGCCGGATCTTGGACAGTAACTTTGCCAGAAACTGAAAGATCGGTACTCGCTGGGTTTTCCAAGGCTTTCCGTTTAGCAGCCTCAAAAGCCGATATCCACTCCATGAGTTCCTTTTGTGTATCTGCCTGGAGCATGACACTGTTGCTTTTCGTCTTCACTTCGAAGCAAAACCGCCTTTCTTCTTGGAATGCCGCTCGAACGCTGCAGAGTAAAACACCAATCCTTTCACTTTCTTCAACACCGCCAGTTCGCGGACCCTGCACAAGGCAACCAAATATGCCGTTCTTCAAGAATATCCAGCGTCTAACCCAAGAAGTCCGTGTAGGCTTGCCGTAAAGTGTTCGCAGATATACCCATCCTTGTTTTTCAGGCCTGGCTTCTTTCGTCATGCTAAGATTTGATAACGGGCGGGACCCAAGGTAAGGAACAGTGGACACAGAATAGTCGTCAAGCTCACGAGAAGGTCTAGCCGCCACCTCCGCTGCTTCTTCGATTTCCTTCCTTGCAGAAAATAGCTCTCGCTTGGAAGACCTTTCACTTGCATCCATTTCAAGTACCCAACCTTTTATCCTGTCCATCTCATGGGCCCACTTGGCAAAGCCTGCGCCGTTGATTTGGAAGAACGTCTTAAACTCCCGCCATTGATCAAAGGAAACACCGACCAAGAGCCTATCAAGGCCATTCCGTACTTGAGGGGCTTGCACTGAGAAGTCCATCGAAGCCTTGAGATAAGCCTTGCGAGCCTCGTGAAGTTGAAAGGCGTCTTCTCTCAGAGACGACGGTTCCTTCGATTTAGATTGCGATGAGTATCTAGACAAGAGGTAGTCATAATGTTTTTGTGTCTGATCGAGCACTCGGCGGGTCTCCTATAGCGGGGTTAGATACAGATAGGCCGGCGCTGTATGTGTGGTCCTAGGGTCACCTTGAAATTGCGCAAATCCTCTTGAATAAAGATCCTGATAGGTTCTGCAACCAACATCTCAATCTTTTTTGAAGTAGATACCAGCCCGTTCCACAATTCCTTGGAACTGTCCCCGCATCTCCTCATTGACAATAGCGTATAATCATGGTCGAGAGCAGCTTCTGAGACTGCGACAGGGTGTGTAGAATATGACAGAAAGGTGTTAACAATATTCTCCATGGATGCTAGCTCCATAGAGAGCTTCGAAGCAGCCCTCGCATAGCCATCGAGCCATCTTTCTAGGAACTCGATCTGGTCGGCAAAGTGTAGCGTGGTGGCACGGAATGTTGGCGAATCGAGAGCGGCCTCCTTTAATCCAACTGGGCTTTATCGATATAGTTAGTACCATCATTGATGCTTCTATCCCTAGAAAACAATATTTGCACAACTCACACCACGCTGACGAGCTTCCCGACTTGGGGCACAGGGCTCTGTTGCTGGGTCGACATCTAGTGTATGTCACCGGCCATACACTTGACGCGAGGAAAGATAGCGATGAGGACACACAAACAATGGCCCCCAAAGTAGTCAATTTATCAATATAAGGGGCATTCGAAACAAATAGGGGTATGGGTCAGAGAAGGAAGTAGAAGTCATATACTTAGGCCCGGAGCTTGGAGCGAGCGCCTCCTCCGTCAACTCCATTTGGGATTAACCAAGTCTCACGAATGATTTAATTGGCTACGTCAGTAATTCGTTCTTGCTGCCTGGACCCTCAGGCATAATGTGGGTCTCGAACATTCGAGGCGGTGAGAGTGGGCGGGTTTTCTGCCGCCTACTATCACTTTTTTTTTCCAGGCGCATGGCGACTTAGTTGAACTGGTCGGT